CTTGTGCTTGAGGGGCACAGGACATCTTTGCTGGTGGTAATGGCTGTGATGGAGGCCCTTGTGCCGAGGATCATCTTGACCTAGTGGCAGGCAGAGAAAGAGGTGGTGGCTGCTGGAGAGATGCTGCATGCAGTTCACTGGGCTTTGGCAGCTGTGAATCCTCTCTGTAAAAAATAAAATAAAAGTTTAGGACATCCAATACTACTATGTTCATTGAAAGTAAGTTGAATGTGGGGGAGGTGTGAAGCTGACTGCTCAACTTCTGTCCTGTCCACCCCCAACAAATCAAAGCAAATCACACCTGAAAGAGAGGTGGGGGTGGGGATACTATTTCTCCTATTTCACAACACTTGAACAGAGATTTTTCAGTATAAATGTACACACACAAACACACACACACACAAATAAATAAATAAAAACAATACTGTGAAAGACAAAGTCTCCTCTGCACAGAACAGTATGATAAAATAGTCAATGGCTAAAACATACCCATTAATTTATACTACTTGTGAGTGAAGCTCACACACAAGGAACGCAAGGAAATAACTTTTGCAAAGAGTAAAACTTTACTCATGGACAGTCAGTTTTGTCAATCAAAGTTCAGGACTTTTTATACACAGGGTGCACTATCACTGTGATATTGCAAAACAAAGCTTTTGCAAAAACAAATACACTTACCCATCTTCAAATGGACCCCTACTAGTGTGGTGTTCCTCCTCAAAGTAGGAATCAAACCATTCAGGCCCTAATCTCCGTCTCTGCTTTGCAAGACCGCTTCACCAGTCTCCACACTTACAAACTTATTTTCCATTTTTCAAACCTCTCCGCTGTTGACTGAACTGCAGCGTGTCTAAGGTAATGGGTGGGACCTTAGTGATTTCCTGAGCGTTCATTGGTTACTTTCACAGAAACTGTAGACGGACACACAAATCCACCAATTACAAACGACGACGACGACGACGTGCGTCTCTCTTCCTCCTACCTCCAGCTGTGAATCACGTGCGATCTCGCGAAAGTCAGATTCCGGCAACAATTGTACCTCACGGCAAAGGTTAGCTGTATTGCAGCAACAGAATTTAAAAGGATGGTACAAATAGTAGAATCTCAAGTGAACAATGACATTAAGTCGCTGACTGGTACCACTGTCTAAGACTCCCAGGGTTTATAATCTGCACTTCCATAAAGTTGGGAGACTCAGAAGTTATAAATTTGTAAAAAACAAAAACAAAAACAAAACAACAACAACAACAACAACAACAACATCAAAAACAAAACAAAAAAAAAACACTGTATTTAAATTGTGAAAACTGAATGTGGAATAAGGTCTTACAGAGAGTTGAATTTTCAATGAGGACCAAATACAGTTTCAGAGCAAATTAAATCAATTTCATAATATTACATGTAGTTTGAGGTAGGCCTACACTATGCTAAATTATGCTATTCCGGTCCAGTTTGTCAGTGCAGAACAAATTCAAATGATGTGATTCAAATTCAGATGTTAATGTAATTATTCAAGTTGAGCAATTCAAATTCAAACAGGAATAATTTAAATTAAGTTTCTAGTGACACATGTTTCTGCTCATAAAAATCCTCCTCCACTATGACACTTTGTCTGTTTAGCCAGTTTAGTTGCCAGAAAATCCACTTCCCCTATGGAGAAATAAGCTGCAGGCCATCTGGACAAAACTCCATCTATAAACAATGTATTAACATTTACAGCCACATACTTGATGGGATACAGTATATTTATTAACATGTATAACTGCAGGGAAATTAAAGTGAAAAACATGTGTACCCTTTTGACATTAAACATTTGTAACTACATCGGTGCTATATTCACGTTGAATAATGAAAAATGCCAGTTTAAGGGGTATTGCCTAATTTCATTGTCCTACTTGTGCTAAGTGCAATTATGATCATTATTTACACATTTTGTTTATTTATTTATCTTAGCTCTCCTTAAATTGGCTGCTGCAGCCATGTCTGTTCAAAACACACAATCTTTACTTTGAAGACGAGCTGTCTCTGTTTCCGGCTCTCGACTTCCTTGTTCAATTTCTATTGCACAAGTTGGATAATAGAACAAACTGACGCTTTGGTGAGCTGAATTGAATTGCACGTCTTTATTTAATGGGAACGTAACACACGCCAATGAAGAACGAGCTCACAAACGTCAACATATATTTGCACTTAGCAAAAGTAGGACAATGAAATTAGGCAATACCCCCTAAACTGGCATTTTTCATCATACAACGTGAACAACTGCAGAAGAAGTATACTTCATTTTCATATTACCCATTAAAAAGAACTTCCTAACCTTTATAACTGATGACTTATTAAATCAGATTCTCATGGCAATATATTACTATGATTTAAAAGGTGAGAAACCCATATGGTTTACCAGCAGTGTCACCAAACTAAGCAAAACCAAAAGCCATGTCATCACCAATATAATGTATAAAAGCAGAATACTGATGCATTGATCACACCGATCTCTATTTAAACAACTGTCTGACTGGAAAATGTGATAAAAACAACTCCTTGCCTCTATTGCGCTTTCTAGAGTTTTACTATTTTAAGTATTGATTTAACAGCTAGCCAAATTCTATGTATTAGTCATATAATAAGCCATAGAATGGCTAATAAACTATACAGTCCCAGACTTATTGCATGAATATAATGAATATGACATATGCAGCCTTTAAGTTTAGGCGCTTTTATGTTGAAGGCAAACAACCAGAAGTCTATTTTAGGTTATTTTTGTTGGCTTCACACATGTTCGCACAGGCACCAAAGCTAGTAATCAAGTGTCTTCGACAACAAAACACCACATTTCCGGTTATGACTTTCATAATAAAACCCTATTGACAATCCTACAGTCATGTTTTGGTAACGTTTTTGAACCAAGCAAAGTATTATCGTGAAACAAGTAGTTAACAGATTAGATCTATGGAGGTTATCAAGTATTGTGTATTAAAATCAGCGAGCACAACAATGTGACACATATGAAAACATGTCAAGTACGTCTTGTAGGTTGTTTACAAAAAGTCGTGAATCGCGAGAACAATCATTTCCAGTCACATTTTGTCTGGACTTCACAATAAAGGTCTAAAAGTAGTAAGGTAAGTAAAGTATAATGTATATAAGTTGAAACTTTTTGGAGCAACAAAAGCAGAACATAGTAGTAAAGATAGTATGAGCGTGGAACAACTAGGAGGAAAAAAATGCATGTAACATATATGTAGTATAAAACGAGTGCAAATTGAAAAAACAACCATATCTTTTGCAAATTCAACAAGAGAAAAATGAAAACATATAGAAAACAAAATAATAGACAAGAAATTACTTATATAAAGGCTATCTTGTTGTTGTGAGTTGTGTTTTCTCTAAATGTTTTCTCTAATTAAGGTACATGTGTAAAAGTAACGCTACTCCATTACACGTAAAAGTCATGCATTAAAGTTTAAATTTCAAAGTTATATTTTTACTATTTATGTTCAGAAGTATAGTTTGCAAAAACATTTTCTGTGTCAAAGTGCAAAATGGCTCGTTTCAGAGGGTTATGTTCCCATCAATCTTTGGGTTTTAGACTGTTGGATACAAAACAAAATAATCGACAGATTATCGATAATGAAAATAATTGTTAGTTTCAGACCTAAAATGTGGGCTGCTTGGTTACTCTACTTTCCACCACTGCATACAATGTAATCACTGGTAATAAATGTCTAAAAAACTGGTGCACTGTTTTACCTCCTAGATTCCGTACACCAGCCACATAGATTATTTTATTCTGAAAAACACGTCAGTGACACACCGGAAAATGAACTGTTGTGTGTGTCTTGCTTCCACACAACTCTTGTCAAACAAGAGGCAATAGACCTTCCTCCTCTTTCCGATCACTAGCCACCGGATGGTTTCCTCTTATTTTTGCGGAAGTGATGATATTTTCCAAGGAGCTACATTATGTAAATTGTATTGCACAATCGTGCACGTCTGAGTGTCATGTGGCATTAAGAGTGGACCCGGATCAGTCAGGGTGTTGTGTAGCCTGTTGGAGATCAATTGAAATCATTCTTAAGTGTGTAGTAAATTAGTTGAAACATATTTTTCTCATGTAATCACAGATTATGTTTGTGATGGAAGCAACACCAGAAGTCTGCCCACTACTTTAATAAATGTCACTTATTAGATCTCTTGTTTGAATAATAGTTTTAATTTCTTTCTTTCGTCTAAGTATGTAGCTCATTGCACACATGGGAAAGAAAGACAAAGTATAGCCATCTTCGAGCTGCAGGGTGTGTGAGTGTGTGCGCGCATGTCAATCCCTTGCAGCGACTATTCAGCTAAACCTGTTTTCCTTCAGATCCTTTCGCAGAATGGCTGTCTTTATTTGGTCATCACATGAAAACCAAGTGCCCTAGTGCCAGCGAGTAGTTTGTGTGTGCCCTTGGAGCATTGCTTGGTAAATGTTTCACTGTTTTTTTTTTGTTTGATGTTGTCTATCTTTGCCTTCAGTTTTCTCTTTATAGTCTTCAAGGGTTGTCTTTCACAGTAGCCCACGCCCGTTCTTAGGATGAAGTAAATGTTGATTATGTAATCAGCTCTTAGAGCAGACACAGGCCTATTCCTAAATAATATGCACTCAAACAACTGCGGTAATGTTTCGAAAAGGAGTGCGTCGCCATATATGTTGTATTCTTTAACACAAAATGCATGTACAGAATATTTTCCTTGCATTCCTGCCTCTCGGGCAAGCAAGCATGCGCATGAGACGCTCAGCTTTGGCCTTATTTGGATATGGTAATGAGTGGCTTCAGACAGCCAATGAGGATCGAGTATTCGTACATGTGACGGTAAAAGACCGCTTGGGGGGCGGGGTCAGAAGCGGAGCTTAGGTTAAAAGCGGTGGACAAGACACAGCGCATTCAGTGTAGGGAGAAGCAGGGACTCTCTGTGAGGGGGAACTTTGTTACTATGAAACTTAGGAATATTTACAAAATATTGTAAAAATTATCAATATCCCTCGTGAATCAATAACCTGCCCCTAGGGTTTGAGTTTTTTAGTTTAGTTTGCCCGGAAAGGGCTTCTACACTCACTATTCTTACACTTTTTTGAAAGAATGTGTGAGACAGACAGTTAGCCAGCTAGCTAGCTAGCTGAGAGGTGATACAGGCGGCAGGAGAACAAAAGATTTTTTTGCGTTTTGGCCGGTTGTACTGACACCAAGTCCATGCAGAACGTGTCATTACCATCACAATGCCCGTTTTACTTTTTCTGATAGACACGTCCGCTTCAATGAACCAGCGCACCCATCTGGGCACTACCTATCTGGACATAGCAAAAGGCGCTGTTGAGACTTTTATGAAGGTACTGTAACCACGGGACACATTAATACTGGGAGATCCCCAGATCATCATTGTACTGTTGCAAAGCTCGCCTGTCAAACCTGATCTCTCGATAACCGTAAATAATTCTCTACTATTTCCACAGCTCAGAGGGAGAGATCCGGCGAGCCGAGGGGACCGGTATATGTTGGTAAATTTTGAAGACGTTCCCTTCGGGATAAAGGTAGAGTTTGTTTTCGGGTCATGTCCAGCTTTACATTGCGCAGATTGACTGTCCTTCCATCGCTCCACCACGTTGTGATCACTACATCAATTGTGTAGAGAAAATCTTCAGGAGGAGCTTTCATACCCCTTTTAAAACATGGCCGACATTTTGTTTCAATGTGAGCAGCAAGGAACTCTGGGTGTTATTTATACAGCGAGGTGATATCTTTTGGGGAGGGGGGGGGAGGAGGAGGATGAGGGGAGGCGGGTGACAGACTAGCCTACTTTAATTGTTTAGACCAAATTGTCACGGCGCACATGGCGACTTTGCTACTTTGTAATTTATGACCCCGGCCCGGTCGCATTAGCCGGCTAGAAACAGATCAAGGTCTTGGCTGCTGTGCTGTCAAATTATTGGCTTGGGCAAAGAGAGAGGAAGCGACATATATATAATATATATATATATATGGAATGTGTGTGTTTATCAGTTCAGAATCACAATAAAAAAAAAACACTCAAGTTAAACAGTGACTTATGTAAAAGTTGCCTGGTGTTCACAACAGTGGGGTTGCTATCTAGCTTCATGCATGTTAATAACTAAATTTTTTTTGTTTTGTTTTGTTTATTTGTTTTTTTTTTTGTTTGTTTTTTTTAAAGGCTGGATGGAAAGAGAGCCATGCCACATTCATGACAGAGCTGAGGAACCTCCAAGCAACTGGACTCACATCTATTGGCCAGTCCTTGAGGACCGCTTTTGATTTACTCAATCTCAATAGATTAGTGACTGGGATAGACAACTATGGACAGGTATGTAGCACTGAAGAGGACAGAGAGGAAATCAGGTTTAGAAAGTGCTATGACAAGGTGCTGTATGCGCCCCCAACAGACCCCCTTCACCCACCCCCTCTTCCCCTATCCCCAGTCTTACAAGCATCAACCACCTGCATACTGTGACCCCACACACTTTCAGTCATGTGCTCAAGACACAAACATAACAGCAACAAGTTCAAAAAAGAAAAACAGGAACAACTTATTGTCAGTAACCGTTGATTTCACCATTGAGTTGGTGTCTTTCGTTTGTGCTCTTAAATCATGGATGTCCTTGTGCTAACATTTTTAGCGGTTAACAGATTAGAGCTGTGGAGCTGTAGATCTGGCGATCTCTTGCAGCCTTAGAGGGATAAACGGTTAATGAAGTCTTTACAGATGGGCACTTAAGTTGATATTTTATTAGGTATAGCCAGCTAAAACTAATGCGCTCTAATACAACATATTTGCTTTAAATATTATATAACTTTTTTTATTAGGGTTATAATGTTGAGTTTTATTGAAACGGTTTTTAGAGAAATGTTTCAACGTTATGGTCAGTTTGAAGGTTGTATTGCCTTGTACGGAGACCTGACTCTAATATTTAGTCTCCCGTCATTAACATTAAAATTCAAAACGCCTCATCATCAGTACAGCTTTTAAAATGACAATGAAGTTGAATCAGCGCTTCCCTGTGTTAGTTTAAACACAAACTGAGCATTAAAAGCTTCATGAAGGTAGGATTTATTTCAGGATTGTTGAATTATTATTATTTTAAACTAGATGGATCTAATAAACCCTCACTTAAGTGTAATTTCTAGCTTGCCAGAGGCCATTTAAAATGTTTATATGACAATTTAAGTTTAAAGTCCCTGGTTTTCTGTGCTTCGATAAGCATGCTCTCAAGCTTTTTTGTGAAGAAAACATTTTTTCACATTTTACTGGACTGTCTTGTTTTATGCTGCAATCAGGTGTGAAAAGCTCTGCAACTGGGATTGGTTACTTTTTTCTTTCTAGCTTAGCAACAAACAAGAATTTATCTCAAGAAAGTTATTGAATTATTTAAAAAATTATGTGTACAAGGTCAGGAATGTTGGGTTACTCAAGGAAAAGCTTCACAATGTGACAGCGCTAGAGCAAGTTAAAGGAGAAATGGTTCTTTAAACTGGACTTCACTGATGTTATTGTTCTTATATTGCACAACTCGGTTTTAATTTGTGTATTTGAAAAAAGTCTCACCTCCAGCTGGACAGCAGAGTGGGCCTGATTCACAGCTGGAAGCCTGCAACAAGTATTCTTTTAGCCCGCAAAGTCTGTAACTAATTCAGTGTAACTGGTGCAATTCCAAAAAGGGCCGCCTAATGACATCACCAGTTTAGTCTCTGTGGTCAAATTTCCAGTTTAGGGAGGTAGTTGTTGAAAGCGAAGCTATTGTGGATACACTTCTCTGTAGATAGAAATTGTGAGATTGTGCAGTTTCAGAGTGCTGCTCTCATGTAAGCCTTCTTATCTGCAACACATGACCGTCTTCTTTCATCACGCTACTTACTGTGTAGTGTGACACAAAACGACCAGAGAAGCCCAGTCTTGATTTAGTCTCATTAGAAACGACAACAGAAAACAGCTTGCAGGAGATGCAACACATCACCCTGTAAGATTTTTTTTTGTCTTCTGTCCAGTGTGTGAAAATGAGGTGCAGTTTTCTGCCAGGGAAACAGAGGAGTCATTATTAATGTAAGCTTAAAAGTCTAGTCCATATCCAGTTTGACTGCTTGGAGAGGCTGCACACTTGTGGTTGATATAGAATCTGGATGTATGTTTCCCAGTGTGGAGGTAAGTCAGGAGGGTTGGAGCAATGATGAATGTTTAACTCCTCAGTAACAAACAGAACCATGCTATCAAGCAGGCTAATGCATACATACAGCGTACATACTGCTTGTCTGTCACTCTCGGCGAGTTTGAATGTCAAATACCAACTCTGCTGTCAGGCGGGCGGATACAATACGGACACGCATATACACGTGTCTGTAAACACAAACAGAACATGCGCAGGTCAAGGTTACTGTGTCCTGTGCACTGCTTACCACTGACCTCTAATGACAGGTTGATTTGACAATGATTATGATTTAATGACCAGTTCTCTCTCCTCCGCCTTCTCACAGCTGGCAGAAGATCAATTTCAGAACAGAGGGCACACTCCCCTGTATCCACTGTGTGACTCTGACATCATAACCGTGCTGTAATTACTAGTATCGAGTATATTTTTACAATGGAAGTTGTACAATGACCTATGTTAAAGGGCTGCAGCTAACAATTCTTTTTATTATTGACTAATCTGTCTTTATTTTTAACAAGTGATTAATCATGAAATATTCAGAAATAATGGAAAATGCCCATCACAGTTTCCCGCAGCCTAAAGAGACGTTTTCATATTAATTCTTTTGTCCAACCAGCAGAAAACCCAAAGATAATCAGTTTTTAATCTTAAACGGGGGGGGGGCAGCAAATCCTCACATTTGACAAGCTGGATCCTATTGATGTTTGGCATTTTTGCTTGATAAATGAGTTAATAATTTTCACTCTATCGATAAATTGATTAATTTACAAAATTTTTTAGCGCAGTGTTAGTGCACCACACCTCCTGTGAGCTGTTGTCATCTTTTGTTGTTTTTTGTTTCTTTTAAGTGAAGCTTAACCAGTTTGCTAAAAGGATTTCTCAAAGGAAGTGGATCAAGTGCGCTTTCCCATAAAATCATTTTGTTGCGTCGACTGTGTGGCTAACTGTTTGAGAGCAAGCGTCACGTTTACACTAAAATTACTATTCACTTGATTACAGCAGGCCATGGTGTGCAGATGATGTCAGTGATGAACCTAATTTTCCTCTGAACCTGAACATCACACAGAAGTTCAGATCATTTTGTCCAAGTTTACGAGCAGCGGAGGAGCCAGGCTGAACCTTTTTTTTTTTTTTTTTTTTTTGGAGGTGCACTTCTTTTCTTTGAGCAGTCAAAACCGACAAAGGTTTCATCAGCACTCTGATGGCTACACACACACTCTGTCGTATGTGTTTTTCAATCTCAATTTGCTTCAACAGCTGTAAACCAAAGTGATGCAGTAGCTTGGGTTTCGTTGGCATTGTATTTGATGTGCCCTGTATAATAACTCAATATCGTCCGCTTGTCTCTCCAATTTAATTCATAAGGAAAAGTCAACTTTGATTTTTCATTGTCAAGTTCTTAAGTGCTGAATGTGTAAGATGTTCAGTGGGGAGAGAGGGAGAAGACAAAGAAGAGTAAGCCTATAGGGGAGTTAATATTGCCCTGGAGTGCTTCTCTCTACAGTAACAAAGAGCCCTCCAGGTTGCCAGGCATCTGAGATGACTGTCCCTTGGGAGATGGAAGAGGGGTATGGAGGAGGAGAGGAATCCTGACACTGATCATGGTTTCATTAAGAGAGGAATGGAAAGAGCAGAAGAAAGAGGACAAAGGATGAGAGTGAGGAAATGATATGACCGCTGATGTTTGGCCATCGGTTAACGTGTCAGTAGGGGTGGTAAACACGGCTCTAATGGATCTCCATCAGTCTGCCACTGTGTTAGCAGACCAGGTTTCCCGCTGCTTCAGGTGGACTTGGCTGTAGCTGACAATATTGACAGGTCTACACATGATTAAGGCTGTGGTTAACAATTATTTTCATTATTGATTAATGCATTGATTGTTTTGTTTTCTTAATGAATCAATTAATTATATGGTCTATAACATGACAGCAAATAGTGAAAAATAATGCCCTTTGCAGATTCCTAAAGCACAAAGTGATGTCAAATTAATAGCTTGTTTTCTCTGTCAAATAACCCAGAATTTAAAGTTCTTCAGTTTAATATAGAATAAGATAAACAATTTTCCATATCTGGTTAGGTAAATTTTTTTTTTGCTTAAAAGGTAACTTAAGTAATTAATCATTTATAAAAAATAGTTGGTGATTATTTTTCTGTATGCAGACGTATTAGTTAATTGACTAATTGTTTCAGCTCTGCACATGCCACTACACTGACTGTAGCGGACAAGATTAGAGGAGCAGAGCTGGCTGATTCTGTGTTGTCAATATGGACTGATGCAATGTCCCAAAAATCTCATTTTAGTAGCTGTGTTTTAAGCCACTTGCATGCATAGCAGCAGTAAAAAGCTAAGTGAGCTGATGTGACATGGATGAAATCATCACTCGTCTGGCAAGTTAGCCTCATCTCCTGCTCATTAGCATGCCAAGAAAGTGCCTGATATCATAAAGGGATTTTGGGGAAGGAAGGAAAAAAAAAAAAATCCAGGTTGTCATGGATACCTACAGCACCGTGGATCTTGGTAGTATCCTGCTCTGTTTACACTGGGCCGTTTGTGTTAACGGACAAATCCATCATTCAGCAGAAACCGCAGCCTACAGGTAGAGTTCAAACTGAGTGGGTCCACATCCATTAATAATCGCACCGCTGTCAGAACAGGATGCCCTTTATGAAGTCCGTATGACTCTGTGAGTCAGTGCGGGCCAGCGCGCTGACCGTTTGCTGACAGGACTTGTCGGGCTGCGTCGAGGTTAACTCACCACATTTTTCTGTGGCCTCTGTGGAGATCCCACAGGGCTGATGTATAGTGATAAATGCAGCGCTGCTCCAGTTTCATTCTATCAGAGTGGAGTGTGCTGATGTCATGAAATATTGTGGGGTCTAGCAGAAAAGAGGTTTCATATAGATCCTCAGGTAATACACTCTGCCATCTTGAGGGATAGGGTGAATGTATACCGCAGATACACATCAGTGCTCGTCTCAGGTGAAGATGTAGTCTCACTCTACTAAAGATGGTACTTTTTCTGTTTCTGTTTCTATTTATTATCCCCTGGAGTTAAGGTTCTCTCTTTCACACACCCGCTCACTTAAAATAGATCCCCTGTAAGTTATCTATGTAATGATAGGTTAAATGTTCTCATTTGTGCCTCAGATGTTTTAAGTGCCATAAATATACCGGTGCTAAATTCCAGTATGAATTTTGCTCTTGGCTTCTATAAATGGACTTAACTCTTTTTAATTTGACACATTCCTTTTATCTGCTCTCATAGTTTAATTTTTAAATTGATTGTGAATTTATGTTTTTTTTCTCTCTCTCTTTTGTAGGGAAGGAACCCCTTCTTCCTCGAACCCGCCATCATAATCGCCATCACGGACGGCAACAAGTTGACAAGCGGCGGCGGAGTCCAAGACGAGGTCAGCCAACATCTCCACAGAGACGAGGGGTCCCAGCCAATCAGGAGAGCTTCCTGCATGGTTGGATGACAACTCAAGAGCCTGTCTGATCCCACATTGTTCTCTTTAACACAAGCATCAAACCCTTTCCTACTGTGTCACTGAGACTAAAAGAGCCACTGCTATTAATGAAGTATGTTCAAATTAGACTCATCCCATGACGATGTGAAGCAACGGCATCATATCTTACCTGTAAGATACCACTTGGTTAAATACCTCTACCTTATTAGATATCGCTACCTCAGATTAGTTAATCACAACAGGGTTCGGGCTGAAACTAACATTTGAGTATTGTCATTTATTTTCTCGATAAAATTGATTAATTGTTTGATCTATAAAGTGTCAAAAAAAACAAACCAACACATATCCACATTTGAGAAGGCACAAGAATTTTTTTTTCAAATAACTCAAACAATTGTTTTTATCATTGTTTCTTCTGCCTGTGTTTTGACTTATCATTAGGACACAGTGTAAAAAAGGCTCATTGTAGTTTCCCAGAGCCCAATGTGATTTTAAAATTGATTATTTTGTCTGACCAACAGTAAAACCCAAAGATATTCAATTCAACAGTGATAATGACACAATCAGAAATTCATATTTGAGAAGCTGGAAATATTTGAAATTTTTGTTTGATAAATTATTTGAACAATTGATCAGTTTTTCAACATTTTTGTGGATTAATTGATTATCCAATTAGTTGCCAATCGATTAAGCAACTGCCATTTTAGCTCCAATTATGATACAGAAGTACAACTACAAAGATCAGTCGTGTGAGCATGTAGTGTTGCCTTTGAATGTCTGCAACCACGATGATTCCTCTGCGGTCTGCGAGTCAGATTAAAACTCCTCTCAGTGACTCAGTAACTCACTCTCCCTTCAATTACTGTATTTCTTTATTTTGACTCCTCACTCTGTAAGATGTCATCTTCTCTGCATCTGCCATCCATGTTGAATAGTTCTGACGCGTTTCCCTGTGAGATGGAGAGAACTCCATTAAGCCATGTAGTCAGTTCTGTAGCTTGAGAAGTAAAAGTTGTGGAGGTCAGACACATACAGTTCAGTCCTTGATTCTGCAGCCACAGTCTAATTTATGGCTCCTGTGATAATTCCATGCTTGTGCCTGTTACCAAGCGAGCTTTGGTATGGGAAAGTTGACTTTAATTGCAGCTCTCCTGATAGTTATTTAAAAGTCTGGCCTGACTAAGACATGTCTGAAAAGAAAATGTATAAAAACAAAATGATGGAGCCTCTTACTGTGAAGAGATGAACACTGACATTTTCAGTTTGCAGTGGCTGCATTTTTAAATGTCTTTGAACAGTTTGTAATAGCAATATAATTTGGGAATAGAGGATCTCCTGCACGCTGAAATGAGAAATGGTCTGTATAAAAGATAATAAATAACTTTTATTGAATTATGCAGTGAATCAAATACCTGATAAATTAAGGGACTTTGTCAATATTCCCATAAAAAATCTTGCTCATCCATTTTCAAAATTCCCCCAACAGCCTCAAAACAACATATGCTACTAAAGAGAAAACTACTTTGATTCTAGTTATGATCCATGCTTCCTCTGTCATTAACGCTGTCATTGTCCCGTCTTCCACCGTCCAGCTCCATCTGCCTCTGACCACCCCGCTTCCCGGTAGTGAGCTGACCAAGGAGCCCTTCCGCTGGGACCAGCGTCTGTTCGCTCTGGTGCTGCGGATCGCTGGCAACGCTTCGGTGGAGCCCGAACCCCTCGGAGGCGTCCCGCCCGACGATTCTCCCATCACCCCCATGTGTGAGGTCACTGGAGGTAGGCCGACTGCTGGTGTTTGGTTAAATATGTGTGTTGTAGAGTGTATCGCTTAAAGGGGCACTTCACCAATTTTAAAAGGTCAGTGTAGTTGTTCTGAGGAGAACTACTCAGCCTGTGCAAACAGTTTTATAATGTTTCGTGTAGCTCTGGAGGAGCATTGTCAAGTCTGAGAAGATATCTAGGTTAGGGTTCGGCTTTATATATCGAATATCTCGCATGGAGAGTTTGAATGGAGTTTGAAAGATGAGGGCATTAACAAGCAGGGAAATGTGTCAGTGTCAGCTCTTTATCTGTTTGCTTCTCTCCTACTCTCCGAATTCCCTATAAAGCTGTCCTTATTTACATGTTTTTTTTCCCGCAATCGACAGCAAAAGTCACTGTACACATAAGTTGAAGACGTTTTGTGCTGTGATTTCAGCTATATTTACTTGTAAAATGATCACTCAGAGAATAATTTAGAAACTCATTCATGTCAGCTGCCATTCAGTCAGTTGAATGAGAGGCATAGAGAGGTGCGCCTGCGGAGGGAAAGTCCAACCTCGTGCTCGTGGGGCAATACTGGCGACTCTCTTCTATGGAAAGTAGGAAAGGTTTGTCCAAAGAAGTTGCTGGATTTGTCGCTAGATGCTTTTTTTTTTTTTTTGCTAAAATGGTCTGAAAAGTTTGTTAATCTAGAGACAAAGGTGCTGAATTGTCAACTGTGAAAAATAAAAACAAATTGGGAAAACTCCAAAGCTCGGCTGACCAATGCGGTAACTTCATGACTCAGTCACGCAGCATTCGGCTGACCAAAGGTAACTTGATCATTCAGTCAGTCAGTCAGCTGGCCCCGTTATTGCAGTCCAGCCAATAATACTACAAACAGTCCAATAATTGAGGACAAAACAATCCACTACATATTTAGATTCAGATTTTGTTGTGTCTGCTGCATTTATAATTTATTAATAAAGTAGATATAATTGTAATTGGCAAGAGAAATAAAAGTAAAAACTACACAGTCATTCTTGGCTTCTTTTTCAAACATTACAGACAGTTGGCTAATGTGAAACAAATCAGTTTAACACACATATGTGTGTATATATATATATACACACACACACACACACAATAAATAACAGAAACACCTCTCTGTTGAATGCAATACAGTTCAACAGCACCACAAACTTCATCCTCCAAAATGATCATACAGTTGATTCAACACCTCTCTGAAACAGTTTCAATAAAAACTGAACATTAAAGGAGGACTTGTTGCAGGACTGTTGTATTAAACTGCATTAGTTTTAGCTAGATGTATCTAATAAACTGCCAGCTGAGTGTAGATGCTATTATAATCTTATTTTGGAAAAAACATCATAGACATATTGCTCTTGGGAGTGACACAGGCCTAATTTCTACAACAGAGCCCCCGTGGAACATGCTGGGACGAGCTCAAAGTATTTATAACACAAGATCAAAATAGCTATTTGTTAAATGCATTCCGTAGCACAGCTGATGAATCATCTCTGTCAATACACAGAAAAGGGAGAATGAGTCTTTTTTTTTTTTTTTTTTTAGGAAAAAAACTTGATGATAGAGATAAAGATCGCCTTGGCAACTGTTCTGTTTTAAAATCAGCGAGGGACAGCCCAGAGCTCTTGTCTTGCTCAACATCCAGAGTGACTTGTGTTTACAAGTTTGCTAGTGGGAGCTGAACAACCCTGTGCAAGCACAGCATGCTCTTGTTTTAACCACTGAGCAACTCTGCCGAAGCTGCTGTGGAGGGGTTAAGTGCTTTGCTCAAGTGCACTTCAGCAGTAAATGTCGACTAAGGTTAGAAAGCCCAGATTTTCCCACCTGGTCCAGGATTGGAACTGTCTTTGTCTCATTCACAGACCCATCACATACTTTCAAGCCAATGATTTCGATCTGTAATCCCCCTGGCTGTAGAAAAAAAAAAAAAAACCAAACCCTGGCTGCCTACCTACCAGTTTTAAAGAACATCCACTTATAGAAGTAGACTTTTATCCCTCCTGTCTCCAGTCCTCATGCTGCCTGGTTGTGGAAGCAGCTGGCAGGAGGAACAGACTAGAATGATGCTGATGGCAGGTTAAGATTAACACACACAGAACAGAGCACACCAAAGCTTGTGTAGCAGTCAGTGGGTGCTGAATGCAGAACATGACACAGCTCCATTGTCACCGACAGTCTACAGTACATGCTGCCTGTCCATTACTGCTGATGGCAGACCTGACACAAAGCCACGGCCTTTTGAAATGAGTGAGTGAATGGGTGCATAACAAGGTCACTAGAGGTGAAGTTGGAGGCAGCAAATGACCAGAAGGCTGAATTAGACTAATCAGTTGTAGCTTTGTAAGACAGCGTCTGATTCACGGTCTGCACTTGTGTGACCTTTACTGTCCGGTGACTGATGCTGTGATGAATAAACTAAAGCAGATTCATGGCTCTGGAGCTACATCTCATGCAAATGTACCTTTTTTGCATCCACTGTATAAAGACTGATACAACCCCATAAAGATAAGCACGCTGTTAAGTAGAGGGCGCTTGAAATCGTGCCATACATATAGTATAGTCAGACACTGCTGAGTTTTAAAAGAAACTAAGAGTACTCTGCATTTAAATAGTACCGTGAGCTTTCATCCAGGAATATTGTCAGGATGTGTGATGCATTTGTAACTCGTTTGTACATGTTTGACTTCTGACAGCTGGCACCATTTGCCTCTGGTTTGAAGTTGGTAAAATACCTGGATTGGTCAAACTTTGAGTCTGAAATCATTTATCTTGTCTCACAAGAAAAGCATCAAGAGAAACTGCCACTTAGTTATTTATCTACATAATAGGATTATTAAATAAATTGGGTTGATTTGATTCTTCAGAGAAATGTCTAAGTACTTCTCAGAATTTATCCATAAACTTCAATTTCTTTTGATTCCATAAGTAAATTAGTATCATATACACTACTTTCCTAACTCCACTGCTGTGGCAGCGGGCAGATGCTTTCAGCAAACAAGCTCGGATAAACCCTCTGTGCACTACCTGCTCAGCATGAAACAGCAGACAGTCAAAGATAGAGACTAGCAAGAGAAGAAAGTGGAACATTTAGCAGCTAATGAGCCAGATATTTCTCTCAGGTGTTGGCAGAGCTAAAAAGAGAGAATATTAGATTAACACACATCAGCAAATTTGTCTCAAATGAATGCAGCTTTAAAACTGATGAACACTAAACAAATTCTGATTTGAAAGGAGCCAGATTTGACAAGTGTATGTGATAGTTAATTCAGATTCAAGAAAAAGCTATTGAAGTCCAACCTACAACACTGTGTCGAACTTATTAATTTCCCAGGTTTATACATTTATATGCGTGTGTGTGTGTGTGTGTATGTGTGTGTGTGTGTGTGTTGCAGGACGTTCCTACAGCGTGTTTTCTCAGCGTATGTTGAATCAGTGTCTGGAGTCTCTGGTGCAGAAAATTCAGAGCGGAGTGGTGATAAACTTTGAGAAGACGGGACCTGACCCTCCTCCACTAGAGGGTAAGAGACACCTCTGTTTGTCTAAACGAAATTTATTTCCGACTTTATTTCTTAAAGACCTTGTTGACAACTGCTACGCTGCATCTGTTTGATTAGTAGAGAAGCTCTTTGCTTTCTCCCACTCGCTTTTTTTTTTTTAAATCCTCTTTGAGCTTCTCTTGACTGTTGTTCATAAACAGCTGGTGGATGTCACTGTTAAACCCCCCACCTTCGTATTTTAACTGCCTACACACTGTTTCAGTTTCTCAAAACCATTTTGTTTTGTGTCATATCTCACAAACACCTTCTTGTCTGAGCTTCTGTTTGGCTGTTTTTACTTGTAAAGTAAACCTCCTCTATATGTTCCTGTACAGACGCTCCAGCTGAGGCGGTGAAGTCTGGTCCGCAGCCTTGGCACTGCTGTCACAAGCTGATCTACGTACGACCCAACCCTAAAACCGGTGTTCCCATTGGTCACTGGCCCATCCCCGAGGCCTTCTGGCCGGACCAGAACTCCCCCACGCTGGTAAGACACTTGTGAAGGAATCATCAAAGTAGAATATTTGTGTGGTTGGACCATGCACCTTTACCTTGTAAGGCCTCTGTTAAATTTCTTGCGTTCATATCAAGGGCATTTAACTGACAGTTATACAAAACTTTACAAAGATTATTTTTATTATGTAATTTTAATTTAATTGATAATTTTCAAAGAAGAAGAAAGAAAACCATAAAAAAAAAAAATATATATATATATATATATATTATATATATAATATATATATATATAAATAAATGGCATGCAATAATGAAAATGACACATAAAAGGTATATTTGTTTGTTTACATGGACACACAACATAAACAAGTCAGACAGTTCCTACAATAATAATGTTGTTAAAAGGGAAGTAATGAAGGCAATACAACAGAATTACAAAGGCCAACTATACAGTATAACACAATATAGCAAATGAAGGTACAACATGTGAAAGGACAGGTGGCAGCACAATACACATGTTTTATCCACATGTTCCGCATAATCATGTGTAAAGATTAAAGACGGATTTCCAAAGACTGATATAGACAGTGTAATTATATGTAATAAGTATTTAATCGAGGAAATGAATTACTTAAAGAAATTTAGTAAAACAAAAATAAATCTTGAGTTCTATCAAAGCAAGCATATTAGTATACAAGTATATTGAGAATATGTGAATGGCAGAGTCTCAAACTCACTCTTAAACTCTTAAACTTGGCAGCATTAGGTTGAAAGACTTGAGAGTTTTAAATATAAATACTTCAAGTTTTTTGTAGACGGGTGAAAAAAAAGGCTTTCTGTATTATAGTCAGGTGGTTAGTTTTACAGAGATGCATTTTTCAGTAAGTGCAAAGTGTTATTGTTAATGTGTTTTAACATATACTATAAAAGTATCTACCTCTCCCCTGTGCCCCAACCAGCCCCCCCGCTCAGCCCACCCCCACGTTCGTTTCTCCTGCCTGGACGCCGAGCCCATGGTGATAGACAAGGTGCCCTTTGACAAGTATGAGCTGGAGCCTTCACCGCTCACACAGTACATTTTAGAGAGGAAGTCCCCGCACACCTGCTGGCAGGTACAGCACCATCTCTCACACACACACACACACACACACACACACACACACACGAGCATGAAAGCTGAAATCCATTATGTTTTTAATTACAACATTTTTCTCATAGTGTGGTAATTAAAGTGTAATGTGTGTAAATTGCTGTACAGCATTATTTGCATTGAAGTTTCCTGGTGGTTTGACAACAAATGAATTGTGGTACATACCTGAATATTAACAGCGACGTGATAAATGCAGTGTTGGATGATTTGCAGTATTTGCTGTGGTTTAATGAGGAAAATACCAGGGAAGTTACAGTTCTCGGGTTTTCAAACGCTGCTCCAAATGTGGGTCATGTTAGTTTGCAAGCCATTTGCAAAGCAGCATTCGACAACAGCCTGGACATGTTGTTCCTTCTTGTCATTGCAACTGTCTGTAATGTTGTTTGAGACTGCTGTCTTTAACATAATCCCTTGAAAGCCTTTTGGCTGATGCGCCTGGACTCTGGGTGTACTTATTTAAAAATGAACACTACAACTTAACATTTCCAACCCTTTTTAAAAGTGTTCGCAGTTGTGATCGAGTTACTTCAGAAGGTTTTTATATTTTTATGGAGGCCAGTGTTTGTTGAGGCAAGACAAATTAACAATAAATAAAAAATCAGACAAAATGAAATCACATCAGACTATAACAGTGAGTGACTGAATTATCATAAAATTTTGACATTCATGGTTCCCAGAGGGTAGATCTTAGTGACTTCAGTTTTCCCTTGATTATTCAGCGATTTTCAAATTGTACATGTAAGTTCATGACAGGATACCTCTACTACTGATCAAATTTCCTTAAGCGTTCACCTTGACTTTGAGATGGACGCTAAACACTGGCATGCTAACATGCTAAATGTTGCCGTGCCAGCTGCATGTGGGTTGACGTGCTAACATGCTAGCATTAGTGTGTTACATATAAGTATGTGAAGATGCTCACACACTAAACTTGAGCATGTCAACAACCTACCTGAAGGTGCGTTAATGTGATGGTGTCGGCACAAGTGCATGTAAACAAACATTCAGCTCAAAGCGCAGCTGAGATCAAGGTTAACAAAGTGCAGCTTAGGTTGATAAAGGGTTTTCTGGATTTGACAGTGTAGATCTGAGTCTGAGATGTCCAAAAATGGTCACTGTTTAGAGGGTAAACTATTTTCATTAGATATCAGGCTCTTCCCTCTGCTGCCACCTTCAGACCGTTCAACATATTTGCCCCACTCGTGGTAAAGACTGAAGACTGGAAAGATTGTCGCCACATTTTTATTTTTTCATTCTTCCAATATTTTTTTTTTTTTTGTCTTCTTGTCTTTCCTCCCTACATGCAGATTGTTTTATGACTGTTAACTGCACACATGTCAAACAGAACTGAACAGCTGCTCATGGGACTTCTGCAGGTCGTTTTTTGTGATGATGTGATGATTTTTCTCTCTCATCTTTTAGGTGTTTGTATGTAACAGTGCCAAGTACAGCGACCTGGGCCAACCCTTTGGCTACTTAAAGGCCAGCACAGCTCTCAACTGTGTCAACTTGTTTGTGATGCCCTACAACTACCCCGTACTTCTGCCACTTCTGGGTAAGACTGATGGATCTGTTTGTCCCTCAGCTTCAGCCTGTCTCTGTGTTTGTGGTTCTGTGCCATTATTTCCTCTTAGCGTGTCCAATTATTTCAGAACATTTTTTTTTTTGCTCTCTTTTTGCAGACGACTTGATCAAAGTGCACAAGTTCAAGCCAACCATCAAATGGCGGCAGTCCTTTGAGAACTACCTGAAGACCATGCCTCCATATTATATCGGGGTCAGTGGACTTGGCACTTCAGCTCTTTAACTTTTGATTTGCTTTTGATTAGCACATTAAAACTGGTCTCATTGATGTGTTCTCTCTGCAGTCTTTGAGGAAAGCTCTGAGAATCATGGGAGCGCCAAACCTGCTGGCCGACAACATGGAGTACGGCCTGAGCTACAGCGTGGTCTCCTACCTGAAGAAGCTCAGTCAGCAGGTTTGTTGTTGAGCTGTTGTCTTTTCATCTTTGGGCATGATTTTTAGTCTCTGTTTACTTCCTTGATCTCATGTGTCTTGGTTTGTCTTGTAAGGTTGTAAATTTGAGCCTTTGTTTAGTTTTTGTACGACTGTTTAATACAAAATGAAACACTAATACATTTATGTTCCTCTTATTTTGAAAATTGGAAAAGGTTTTTCTTCTGGTAAAGAAACTCTGTTATTGTATTGATTATTATTATTATTATTATTATTATTATTATTATTATTATTATTATTATTATTATTATAGGTGCCAACTAGATGAGTTATACTTACTGAGAAATAGATTAATAAACACTAATATAGTTGCACTGTAGTGTGTTATAAGCCATTTATTAAGTTTTGTGTACTGCTTAGAAAAGCTAAATAGTGGGATTAAAGGTGTTGCTATGTTTTTATTATGTCATACATCAGGTAAGACACTGAATGATACAAAAAGCCTTCCTTTGCATTGCTTCTCACAACATCTAATTTGTTCATATTTCCAGTCAAAGATCGAGTACGACAGGCTGATCGCCTCGATTGGTAAAAAGCCACCGCCAGAGGCCGGCATCAAGGTGCGTTGGCGGGGCGGAGGTATATCTCTGGCCCAGCGCAGGGACTTCATCCAGCAGCTGCAGAGTCTCACAGGAGAGGCACCGACTCTGCCCCTGGAGCTCAACCCCAAAGAGTTTCAAGGCTTTCACCTGGCACTGCTCAACAAGGTCCGAATCTTTTTATTTAACCTTCTCTTTACCAGTCAAAGTTTTTCTGAAGACACACAGCTTTTATAAGCAAGAGTTACTCAGTCATGATTACGCACATCGACATCATCTCTTACTGATATTTGCTTTGATTTCCGACTGAAGAGCAGTCCCTTGTTCAAATCTTAAAGTTATTCATTCATGTTCTGCTCAGACTTTCCCTTCCTTCCTGGCTTTCCATCCCAGTATCCTCCTGAGGCGTTTATTGGGATGTTTTATGGAGCCTGTTTGTGTGCTTGAGCACTTTGGCATTTGAAAGATGGTTTTCTCTTTCAGGCTGTATCCACTCTGTTACAGCCAGTGCGACAGTATTTCACCTGAAAACGACCCTCCTTCGTGACTCGAAGGGGGGCTGAATTCAAACTCGCATCCCTCACTTTACTGTCCCCCTTACTGTCTTGTGTCATCATCAGGGCCTGAAACCTCAGAGCTTCAGGAATCCCTACGACATCCCTCGCAGCCACCTGCTGGACCAGCTGAGCCGAATGAGGCGAAATCTGCTCAACACCAGCGTCTGTACTCTCAGAGGGCAGGACTCAGGTAAGTCACTGTCTAGTTCCCTCACTTATTTGGTCGTAAGTGTGCTCTGCAAATCCTGTTAAAAACAATGTTGGGGTGAGAGCTTCAACCAGTGACTGAAGATTTTCAGCCAGTGATGAAGAACTCTTCAGAAAGTCTAGACTTGTCCCTCCATGTTGGTGACTTTCCCTGTCTCCTGTCCAGACCAGCTCCACAGCGTGCCAATCGCCCAGATGGGCAACTACCAGGACTTCCTCAAAGCTGCTCCTCAGCCTCTTCGAGACGCAGACCCTGAACAGCCCAAACGCCTGCACACATTCGGCAACCCCTTCAAACTGGACAAGAAGGTTAATCCCACTGACTCGAAACAACCCCACCCTATTCGTCTTTCATGAGGAAAAGCCTTCACCAAAATTGACCATCGTACTTTGCCGCTAACCGTCTTCCTCACTTTTCTCTCAGGGCATGATGATCGACGAGGCGGATGAGTTTGTGACCGGCCCACAGAACAAGGGCAAGAGACCAGGAGACAGCAACAACATGCAGGGTGGAGGCCCCAAGAGACGCCGCTGCATGTCGCCTCTGCTGCGCCTGGGCAGGGCTTACACGCCTCCAGTAACACCCCCTGCCAGCCCTCGACCCACAGCAGGTGAGAGTTGCATCGTGGCTATGACACACGTTATTATGCGTCTTTCCAGCTAAAACGATAATTCTCAGAAACAGTTGATCAGTTTTTAATTGTTATATTGAATTTCAATTTTTTTTATTTCTCACCAAAACATATTGTATCCTTTAGGTCTAATAAACATGGATGAGAATATCTCACAACAAACAAACAGAATAAATGAATAGCACTGTCTTTTAAATCTCTCCTGTTATAGACATGGACATGAACGACGGAGCACCTGAACCAGACATCATCATCAACCACCTCAATCAGAACCACTACGGCTCAGACAGCAGCTCGGACTCGGAGGCCGATCATCCCTCGGGGCCCGCCAACCACCAGGAGAACCACACAGCCACAGATCCCCAGGACCTCCAGCACAGTGACGAGGAGGAGAACGGGCAACCCCGGGTGGGCGAGCTGCTGCCGGGCAGCGAGGAAGGCATGGAGGTGGTGCTAGTCGATGACCAGCCGCCCCGCTACCTGTCACCTGCAGCTCTGAAGAAGCACATTCACAACGAGACGATGAAGGTCAACAACGAGCTGAGGGCGCTCATCACCAAGGAGATCAGGAAACCCGGCAGGCGTAAGTAGAATAAACTGATTAATGATAGTATTGGCAGAGTTCTGGTTTAAATCATTAAATATCTCACGACAGAATAAGTGAAGAAGACTTCTGGTGCTTGATAGATTTTGATATGGACATTTTAGTCAGCACCAAAAAAGTATTGAGCTTTAATACCCATCCTTTCTCGCATGTAATTACTGTAACGCCTGAAACTACTAACATCACGATTGATTTGAAACATTGCTTCTCTCAAGAAAAACTCTAAGCTTCTATGTTTGTTCAGGGGCTGTTGTATTGAATTTCATACCACAACAAGGTGCCGCTGTTTTAAAAGAAAAAGGCCAATCCACTGTTGAAGTGTTGTCATCCTATTCTGTCAGAGGAAACCGCATAAGTGAAGCTGGCAAAGCTGTTTTTCTCAAAAACTGTGCTTTACAAAAACAGCAAGCTGCTGCGTGTTGGGCAGTTGGACAGCATAACTTGAATATCTCTGGGTTTTAACCTGTTTATCCTCCAAAACAAGAAATTCCCGGGCATCAAAAACCTGTGATGGGCATTTTTCCCTACTGAGGAGAAGAAGAGAATCTGTGATAGAAAATAATCTATAGTTGCAACCTGAAAACAGAGAACTTTAATAATCAAACATTTTCTGAGGAGAAATTACATTATTGTATGTTTATAGTCATTAATGTTCTATATTTGAATAAAGAATTGGACCATAGAAACACAGTAATAGTGATTGATCCTCATTAGCTTCCTTCTGTTTCAGACTATGAGAAGATCTTCCTCCTCCTGAAGCAGATCCAGGGCACTCTGGACACCCGGCTCATCTTCCTCCAAAACATCATCAAAGAGGCGGCCAGGTAACGCGACTGATTGGTTGATTGACTGACTGACTGACTGACTGACTGACTGAATGACAGACTTCATTGATTGTGTGTGGGAAATGGTCGTGTTACTGCAGACTGAGATTAACAAAGAATTCAAATTTAAAACCACAACTGCAGATCTGCAAAAGCAGATGCTGAATAAAAATATACATCAGAAGCAGAAGATGGTGTGACGGGTTGAAGTGCAACAAGAACTGTGCAAAAGGTGCAGTGCATAATAAATGCAGTAAAAGTATTATAGACAGTATGCGCAGATGGTAGTACAGCAGTGTGTTCACCTGTCTGAGAGAGGAGAACAGTTTGTTCAGTGACCTCCTGTTCCTCACCGACTCAAACGTCTGCAGGTTCTGACCAACGCTGTTGTGAATGAGTTTATTGATCGTGCCCGCGTATCTGGCACAGATGCTGCTCCCCCACCAGACCACAGTACAGTGGATTGCACTCGCCAGCGCAGACTGGTAGAAGATTTCCAGCATCTTACTGCATTACATTGAAAGACCTGAGCTTCCTCAGAAAGTAGAGTCTGCTCATTCCCTTCTTGTACACAGCGTCAGCGTTGGTCCTCCAGTCCAGTCTGATGTTCAGAGAGACACCCAAGTACTTGAGTATATACAGATATACTGATAATGAGTTTTGTGACAAGTCAAACACCATCTCCTCAGTCTTGTCCACACGTAGGAGCAGATGATAGGAGCTGCTCCTCTCCACAAAGTTAGCTACCAGTTCCCTGTGCCCATCTCTAATACACCACACCACCGCAGAGTCATCAGAACATCTGCAGATGGCGTGATTCGGAGTTACACTGGAAATCTGGGGTGTACAGAGGGAACAGAAATGGAGACGGGACAGTCCCCTGTGGCACTTACCACCACATCAGACGTGCAGCTCCCCAGCCAAACAAACCAGGGGCTATAGGACAGATAGAGGTCCGGGAGAAGGGAATTCAACCCCTCCTCTGCTCTTGTCTCAAATAATCTGTGAACAGAACCGTCTGGAGTTGGCTCAGCAGTTCTGTATCCTACAGCTGTGACCAACAGAACAATGAACCATAACATTTGTTGTCACTGTTTGTTCCCTGCACAGGTTCAAGAAGCGCGTTCTCATCGAGCAGCTGGAAAACTTCCTCGAGGAGATCCACAACAGATCCAATAACATGAACCACGTGGACACGCTCTGAGTCCGGCTCATTCCCAAACTGAACTTACTGATAATGAACCCGACAACCCTCCACATCCTTCTAACCCCCCACCCCCTCCCCAAATCCTCCTGTACCGGGGGGGGGGGGGGGGGGGGGCTGCGGAGACGAGATAAGCATCCAAGGCAGCATCCGGCTCTTGAGTGGACTCTCTTCATTCAATCAACATCAGTGATGGTCGTGTTGGTTTACACACAGTATAAACTAAAAGCAGTGTTGACCCTGGATGATGCAAGTGCATTTTTCAGATATTGAAAAAGGGGGGGGGGGGGGGGGAAGCATTTTATTGTTGCAGGTGAAGTGTTTCCCTATGCAATGAGATTTCTTTGGGTCTGTAGAACATTTGGGTGCGGTTGCGTTCCCATCTGTGACCCCGTCCTCAGGCGTTCCCCCTCGATTATTTCCCCTCCCCTGATTTGATCGACTTGTTTTTAAAAGTGACAAATGAGAGTGAATAACCTCTCAAATGAGGGGGGGGGGGGGGGGAGGGGAGTAAACGAGGGAGAGCAGGACATTTCTGGAGAGGAACACATGGCAGCCTGCGCCTGGATGTGATGTTCAGTTTTCTCTGTGTAGGAAGGGTTCAGGTTGTGTGCACGTTTTCAGCCAACTCAGGGTCAGACGGGATCCAGCGGAGACGCTCATGAAACACTTTGCTCACCACACCTTTTCATGCGCTCACTATTGTTTTCACGTTCGGTCATTTTTTTGGCGTCTGGTTCTGTGGGGGAGGACGAGTCTGATGTTTCTGTGTGACTGTTGAATTTTACTTTCTACACTCCACTAACTGAAGCACTCCACTGCTGTGCTCTTAAATGGGTATGCTTCACTTCAAATCTTGAATTTGTCAACTTGTGGTTTAGCTACCAGACTGACAATTAATATTACTGAGGAGCAACTTAAGAATGAATAATTGTTCCCCTTGAGGGGAAAAAAAAGATCCACAGCTTTTCATTACGCTTGGAGATGGTAAACTTAAAAAGTCTGTGTCTTTTGCAGTGCAGGTTCTCAGAGAGGGCGACACAGTATAAAGTAAAATCATTGTGAATGATGCAACATCATTGGTTACAAATGTTGAAATACAGGGACAAAAAGCTCAGGAACTGATACTAATGCATCAAGATCAGCAATAACATTGGAGCTACTTTTACCCCCCTCCCTCCCTCCCTCCATTTTTATCTTATTTTAGCCTGAAACAGCTGATATGCAACACAAACTGTTGTCCCCTGGAGTGCTGATGAACCAAGGTCTCGGATGCCAGCTTGTCCCAATGTGCTGGTCGCTGCCAAATAACATAACCCCCCCC